CCTGAATTAGAGTGGAAGTTTATAAACTAGATAGGGAGAGCCTTAGCCAAGAGAAATGAAAGAATGAATCCTGAATTAGAGTGGAAGTTTATAAACTAGATAGGGAGAGCCTTAGCCAAGAGAAATGAAAGAATGAATCCGTCTTGCAATATGACCTATGTAAGTGGTGTAACGAAGGAGGTAGAGTAGAATAAGAAACATATAATCTCTTGAAAAGCACAAAATCTGATTATAGGATGCAGAACTGAGAGATGAGTTTGATTTTTTCAACAGTTCAAAAGAAAGAATGAATGAATGAATAAACAAGTACCTGTAATGTGTAGTCCTTACTTCCCCCTAATGTCAGAAAATGATTACACTGTGACTCCCACCCTCCCACCTTCATGACTCACCAGGAAGCATGTAAGGATAAGTACATTTTGATGAGCAGTTTTAAGAGAGCCTTCTTTAAAAAAAAAAAAAAAAAAAAAAGCTTAATTAATTCCTTAGAAAATCATATCTTAAGAAACTGAGCGAGCCAGACCTGAGTGCTTCTCTCCAATGTGAGTTCGCTGGTGGTGATTAAAAGTGGAACGCTGACTGAAGGCTTTCCCACACTCAATACATTCATAAGGCTTCTCTCCTGTGTGAACCCTCTGGTGCACAATGAGCTGTGAGCTGTCACTAAAAGCTTTCCCACAATCACTACATTTATAGGGTTTCTCCCCTGTATGGGTTCTCTGATGTACCATGAGACTGGAGCTGTAACTGAAGCCCTTCCCACACTCATTACATTCATAAGGCTTCTCACCAGTGTGAATTCTCTGGTGAATAATAAGGTGTGAGTTTTGGTTGAAGGATTTTCCACACTCGTTGCATTTATAGGGCTTTTCACCTGTGTGAAGTCTCTGATGTCGAATAAGACATTTACTGAGACTGAATGCCTTACCACATTCATTACATTCAAAAGGTTTTTCTCCAGTATGAATTCGCTCATGGTCAACAAGCTGAGAGTTCTGATTGAAAGCTTTCCCACAATCACTACATTTGTATGGTTTTTGCCCAGTGTGGAGGCTCTGATGTCGAATAAGACATTTACTCCGACTGAAAGCCTTGCCACATTCATTACACTCATAAGGCTTCTCCCCAGTATGGCTCCTCTGATGATCAACAAGATTTCTATTAGAACAGAAAGCTTTCCCACACTCACTACACTTATAAGGTTTTTTACCAGTGTGAACTATCTGATGTCGGACAAGACTTTTACTACGAATGAAGGCCTCACCACACTCGTTGCATTCATAAGGTTTCTCCCCAGTATGGGTTCTCTGGTGGTCAATCAGTTGGGAACTCTGAGTGAAGGCTTTTGCACATTCATTACACTTATATGGTTTCTCACCATTATGGAGTCTCTGGTGTTGAATAAGATGGGAGCTGTGTCGGTAAGTATTTCCACACTCATTGCACTCATAGGGCTTTTCCCCTGTGTGGGTTCTGAGATGAACTATGAGTTGAGAGGTCTGCCTGAAGGTCTTACCACATTCATTACACTCGTAGGGTTTCTCTCCAGTGTGGATTCTTTGATGCCCAGTGAGGTGTGAACTTCGATTGAAAGCTTTACCACATTCATCACATTGATAAAATTTCTGTCCCTTCGAAATTCCTTGACATTCTACAGCACTAGAGGACAGATCCGGATGCTTCCCAAGTTCATTATAGTCATCACATGCATCCTTTGTGGATTTATCTTTATCTTCACGTGTTATTTCAAAGAAATCATTTTCCAGTCTGCTTCCTTCTTCCTCTGAGGGTTGCCCTTCCAGCTTTTCTAAAGTACCTTCACAGGCAGCTCCTGCCTCCAGTTCCTCAGAAACTACTCCACAGAGGCCTCCAGATGTCCCATCAGGTAACAATGGTTCTTTAGAAACTTCCTGTTTTGCAGGCAACTCTGAATGCTGCATCCTAGTCTCACCTGCTGCCGAGAGAAAGAAGAAAACAACTTTTATTCATCTCTTGTTCTGCTGATGGAACAGAATCATTATGAGTCTATGGACCTGAAAAAACCTTCACATTAGGGGACACATTAAGAGATGACATATTAAGAACAAGAGAAAGATGGGAAATAGCTCAAGCTTTTCTTCATGACAGAAAGACAAAGAGGGGAAAGTTGGTCAGTGGGGAGGATGGAAGAAAAGTTATTAGGACAAAGCTCTGTCCTGACAGCTCTTAACTGCTCCACTTAATTATCCAATTAAAAAGGCAGTTGGAAGGCAAGACAGCAGACTGTAAAGGTGGTGTGATCTTACAGAAATCACTTAGTAAAATGATGACCTCTAACATCCTTTCCAATCCTGACACTGTATGGTTCCATGGTTCCCAGTAAAGACAGTGGGGACAGAAAGGAGAGGAAAATACCTCAAATCAAGTATGGGAAACAGTATGGGCAAACACAATTAGGAAAAAATGTACCAAAAAAGTGATTCTCATATGTGAGGACAGTGACAAGATTCAGAGAAATCACAGGTTCAGAAATGCTGGGGGCGAAGTATTATGGAAGGGACAGCAAAGTTCTTAAAGTGGAGATTCCCTTAGTCTCTGGTGCACTAGACTGGTAGAAGTCAGTACTGCAAGTACTACATTCCTATAAAAATTAAGAAAGGGACCAATAATTTGAAACACAAGTCAAAATATATCTTTGGTATCTTGATAATCTGGAATCAAAGGAAACTATACAGTTGAATATTTCCTTTTGAATTTGGAAAAAGTGGAAGTAGCAAGCAATCAGTCATGTCTGAACATAAAACTGTTGGTTTTATTAATCATATCTTAACCTGGGCCACAAGCCATCATGGCATTTCAGCATATGGAAAGTTATAGCTATCTGGCTCCTGGACTCCTAAGCCTATCCACCCTCTCCATTGTTGGCTACTGTGCTAGACTTGCCAACCAGAGAACTTGCCCTGAAAACACCCCTTTCCAGGAAGCTGTCCTGCCTCAGTTTTTCCCAAAGGGGAAGCTGAGGCAGCCATGCTTTGTGCTGAGTAACTGGTTTCAATATATCTCAGACCACAGCTGACTAGACCTGGGCACCAGGACCAAGTGTAGCTTCTCTGTATGTTACCCCTCAGCCTCTGCTGTGGCCAGGGGCAAAGTTCTGTCCAAACAGAGATGATATTTAATGGCCAAACCACCCTTGGAGGCCCTCGCTAAGTAAAATCTGAGCTGGAAATAGGGCAAAATAAAGAAAACTAAATGAGGCATGGAGAGAAGCCAAGCCATTAGGAGCTTGAAGAAGCAGCTATGAGAGGATAAAAGATTCAGAGTGAAGAAAATGGGTGGCAGTGGGAGGACAAAGCAGATATGCAGGGAGCAGCTGCCTTACATTACCTGGCATAAAAATTATTTGCTGTTATTGTTGAGGGCCCTGTTTCCCAAAGGATGGTCTAGCTGGTGGATTTGATCAGGGTTTCCATTCACTCAGCCTTATTGTAAGTAATACAGCTCAGTACTTAAATAACGTGAGTAGCCCCCTATTCCTTACAACTACAAATTCTAACCAAACCACCCTAGGTCAATTAACAATGGGGTAAAGACAAAGTTGATAACTTAGGGCTGAGTGATGGGCACAGAGAGGATCATTACAGTATTCTATCTTATCTCATGTTTGCAACTTTTCATGATAAAAAAGGCTGGGAAAAAATAGAATAGAGCAAAGAAAATATAAAGAAAAGAATGCAGACTGTATTACTGGGGAACAGAACCATTACCCATTGAGGCCACGCTGCAACAGTTTTCCGGCATGATGCTCCGGTACACAGCTCTCTGACTGAGGGCCGGACCTTTCCACTTCCTCTCAGTATAGTCCACAGAAAGGAACTGGTACGCTGCAGATCCCTGGAATGACAAGCTTTTACTGCTCAGGGATATTCCTTGGCCTGAAGAGCAGACACATCAGAGTACCAAGAGCCCAGGTGGGGCCCTGGTGGGTAAAGGGGTGAGGGAGGGAGAAAAGTTGGGATGACACATCTAAGAGGACAAGTCCAGCGCCAGACAGAATCCATGAACTCAGCAAGCAGGACCCAATTCCAGAGGAAGTAATTAGGAAGGTAAATCACAGGATTAATCTCAGAATTGGCCAGAGCCCTGGAGATGAGCGCTAGCTATTTCCAGGCTGCAGATTTGGGGACTCAGGGAAGACAGAGTTCAGCTCACCTGGGGCCCGACCATCTGAAGCACAGTTGCTGCTGCCTGATCTCCTGACTTCCCAGCTTGGAAAAGGGCTGGCACCCGGGAAGCACACTGTCCTGAGAGAGGAAAGGGAGCTATGAGGACAAGTCCTACCTCAGCTCCAATAAGGTCTGTATCCAGGGAGTGGGTTCAACAGAACCCAGGCAGCTCCACACACTGCCTCTCATCCCTCTTCCATACAGGCGTTATTCTGACTGCACTGTGAATTTTCCATGCAGGTTTTACTCTGAGGGTGAAGAGGGTTCCCTGGTCCAACTGAGAATTACCCATTCCACCCAGCCCTCACTCGCTTCAAACTCTCTGAAGGAAGGTAGACTTGGGTCCACTTTCTCTCCCCATGGCTTCTGTGGCATCAGCCCAACCTGATTTGCCCCTCACATTTCTGGGCCTTCATTCTGGATTTCCCTTCCTTTTTTTTGCTTCTCATTATGGATGCTGCAGGCACTGGGCCTCAAAGCATCCCTTTTTGCTCTGGCAGAGATCTCATGGACTCTCAATGCTCTAATGCTGCTTTCCCAGTTCCAGCTCTCGTCTAGACCCCCATTACAGACTTCCAGTGGCCTATTGGACATTTCATTTGGGTGTCCCTCTTTATCTTATATTCAGTCAAAAATGGACATTTTTACCATCTTTCTTTCCTGAGTTTCCAAGTTCTATCAATGAATCCCATAATTCTCCTTCCTCTTACTGTTCCATGAATTCTTCCTGCACAATGTATCTCCTGTCTCTCAATTTCTATTCCACTCAGCATTGCTCAGGCAATGACCACCTCACATCCATTCTGGCACACTGGCCTCTTACTGAGGCCTCCAACCACTGGTCTCACCATTCATCCCAGACACATGCATTAGAATAATTCTCCCAAAATACTGTTTCTAACACATCAACCCCCACCCAGCAAAATTTTCCTAACCTCAGTTGTTAGGCCCTGTTCTAGCAGACCCCATGCTCCCAAAACAGTTCTTCCTCATTCCACCTCAGTGTGGGGTCCAGGGAACCCCCACTTAGTCTTTATTTATATCCTCTACTTTGGTGCCTACCACTTTTCTCCCTGCTTCAATTTGTTCCCCCATTTTTCACAGTCACATCCCACAGATACCTCACCCATGAAGCCTCCCCTACCCACCCAGACCATAACAATTTTGCTCAATGTTTACAATGCCCATATTGCTTATTTTCATGGCATCAAATACCCGGGGACAGATATCACTCAATGTATCTTACAAGGACAACTCTTCTTGCAGTTGACTGACTCTCTGCCAACTAGATAACAAGTTCTTTGAAAGCAATAACTGTGTACTGTATCTCTCTGGTTCCCAACAGTGCCTCATCCATGACATGTGCTAGACAAAAACTTGCTAAATAGACAAATGATTAGAGAATAAGCAAAAGAAACAGACAAAGTCACTAGGAAATGAAGACATACGGCAAGGCAGTGAGGGATTCCAATGGGGTGGGTTATAGGGAAATAAAGGAAAGGAGACTTGAGGAGATAAGGGAGGCAGGATTTGAGGCCAGGGCTGAGGAGAGGAGTACCAGAGTGCCCAATGGGAAGGAAGTGTGTCCCTGGGTCATGAGGAGGCTCCAGGTGGGCTCCAGAGCCTGAACTCTCACTGAAGGATGAGGTGGGAAGAGATTCCTCTGTTGTACCCAGGGCTGTCATCTCCTCCAAATGCATTTCCTGTTCCTGTACAGGAGCTGAAACCTAAAGACAGGAATTATAATTGGAATCAAAAGAGCATCCTTCAAGGTCTAGAAACCCAAACCTCGAAGAAACACCCCCAGAAAGAAGCCAGGAAAAGAACAGCCAATGTCCTTCCAGACCCACCAGTACAGCCTACTGGGGGGAAAACTGTCAAAACAGGATCTACAACTTGCCATCCTGCTTGCTATACTTCTGTTGAACCTCTTGGTAGAAGCCTGAAGCCCAGATTATATAACCATTCTCATTTTGTCAATTCTTCAGACATAAATTTGCTTATGAAGAACAATCTAGAAAAAGGAGCCAGGAGAACAATTCTACATACTCCTTATGGCCTTAGTCTACGGAAGAGACCAATCAGAAGTACTTAGAAAATAAAAAATGACAGGTGTATGTACCTATGCATGCACATATAATGCTGAGGCTGACAGCAAAACAAGAGCCCAGAACAGTGGCTGACAAACCTCAAGAGAGCTTTTCCAATTTCTCTCAGCAAACGTTCCTCTTCGGAGAAGCCATTTCTAACCACAGTGACAAAGCAAAGTTGTAGTAGTCACTCTCTCTCAAATTACCTGATTACAGTCTCTGTATGTCTTAACCCTTACATTATCTTACTTATGCCTTTATTGTCTATTTCTCCCCCAATGAAATATAAGCTTTTTGAGGGTAAGAACTCTGTCTTGATCACTTGCTCCTAGAACAATGCTTGGCCCAATGTTGGTGTTCAGTTAAAATTTGCTGATAACTTTCTCTTGATACTTTTTTTCCCCTCTTGATATTTACTACTAGTTTTTAGAGTTATCTGCAAAACCAGTATTCAGTATGTACTATCCCTCCAAAATAACGTTGATAAAATGTCAAATAAGATGAGGTAACACCAATCTTTAGAGACCTTGAGAATACCTCAAAGTAGAGGTATTTCTAACCCTTGCTTATTGTCATCAAACCAGCTCCTCACAATCTCATTGTTACTTTTTCACCAGCATTTGGAGCTGAAAACCTAAAACACCATCTAAATGAATCATATTTATAGGCTCACTTGCTTGCACTGCCACGTACACAGTACAGCCCAGGGTGAAAATAACTTCACAAATCCTGCTGGATTTACCCCATTGGGTTATATCTGCTGAGAGCTAAGGGGACTCTCTCCTTTACTGTATGGCTCTCTAGCACAGTGATAGAACCAGAAGGCTCCCTGGAGTCTCCACGGAACAGTTCTTATAAATGGGTGTTACAGCTCTTAAATACAGCTGCTGTGGGTATTGGAAGAAGGTAGAACTTAGCTGCATCATGAAAACACAACCTTGAAATTCACTAACAATTAAATGCTGGTCAGTTCTTATTCATTACCTAGGACTCAGACTCCCAGGTTTCTTTTCTTTTAGGAATGAAAACCCCGTTCCAATTTTCATCTAAGATGGCACTCCAAAGCAAGATACTAGGGGGAAACTAGTGGCTTAGAAGCTAGGGTGCTAGAAAATTCTGATTCCCACACTTGGTAGTAATCAGCAATAACCATACTTCAGTTAAATCTCTTGGACAAAGAGAATATTCACTAATCACCATCTGAGATGAGTCAATTAATCTCTCTGTGCTTGTGTCACTTGTCAAATGGAGATATGATTATTATTTTCATATTTTGTAAGCCTGCTAGGAACAAAAATAAGATATAGGATATAAAAGCATTTTGCAAATTGCATGATTCTGCAGCCCAACAGGGATTGCTCTACAACCCTCTCCAGCCCCAAAGTACACATATGTACATGCTCACTCCTGCTGAGCAGAGTGACTCTGATCTGCCTTGATATTCCTTAATCTACTCCTGGCAAACTGCCACAAAAAAGCTTGTTTATTTATTTAGCCAAAAATACATTTTTCTGAGCCCATGGTAGGAAAGATAGTCCCATTCTCATGTCTTCTACATCAGAAAAACTTAAGCCAACAATAAAGGCAGAGTAAGAATAGAGTCCAAAGATCCTACTCCTAAGCAGGAGCCAATAGTGTGCAACTGCTCTGTCAACTGTTAAGTCACTCTCTTGATGTGACTCAGTCACCTTTTTCTGAGGGTACCTGGATAAAAGCTTAAGTTTTAATGGAGGGGGCATTCTCTTCAAGTTAGGCAAACAAAGGTGGGAAATAGAGAAATTTTCCTTCCAGCCTCCTCACTAAATGGCACTCAAAAACACTTTATTCAGCCACTGGTCTCTGCGCATGGTTGAATCTAGTTGCTCTCTGCACCCTGATGATGACTGATTTATTCCTGTGCTTATTTTTGTGTCCAAAGAAATAATGCTTGGCAATGGATTCAATGCCAAATGGGTGGGCTGATACTCTTGGAAAAAGGTGTAGCCCTCAGACTCCAATCAACTGGAATTGATTCCCTAGACATACATATTGTAACTATTTTTTTGGGTACTTGGGAAATTTCATATACTGGTTTTCCATAATAAAGTGCAAAGGAATAAAGGTAGAGGGAACCCTAATTCACCCTCCTTGGTTAGTACAAGAGAGCAATTTAGACTTATCAGATAGAACTAATTTAGGTGTCAATTTACCACTAAACTGAGTGTTGCTGTGAAGGTATTTTGTACATAAAATCAATATCCATGTTCAGTTTACTCTAAGTAAAGGAGATTATCCTAGATCATCTGGATGAGCCTGATTTAATCAGTTACAAAAACCTTAAATTAGAGCTGGAAGTTCCATGAAAAGTAATTCTGCATGTAGACAGCAGTTTCAGCCTGTGCCTGAGTTTCAGCTGGCCGTTCCTGATGGCCTGTTCTACGGATTTCCAACTTGTACTGCCAGGCCAGTCCTCATAATCACTTAAGTCACTCTGTAGCAATGCTATAGATATATATACAAATATAAATATGTACTATATATCATTTCCTACTGGTTTTGCTTCTTTGGCTAAACCCTGACTGATACACATGGTCACAGAGCTACTTAGCTCTGTGGTCCTAGAAGCCAGATTTTCCACTGTTATCACACTGCTGGCTCTCCAACTTTTCCTCTAATTTAAATTACCTTGGCTTTAAATTTGAGAGAACCCTAGGAAACAGGGTAAACCAAAATGAGAATTAAAGAG